TCAACTAATGTCCATTGAACATCTGTGGTAAAAACAGAGAGTGGGGAGGAGAAGCATCTCCCACATGGAAGGAGCCTGGGTCCATAGTGGTATTATGAGTGGTTAAGGCAAACCTAAAACTGATTTTCTCAGGACTCTGGTGCGTGTTACATGCCCACCGTTAAATCCAGGCATCTGGCTCTGGGGGGATTGCATCAAAGTTTGGCACGAACAGCTTAGTGGTCGAATTGATAAAATGGGTGTTTCCAACTCCAGAGGCTTAGAGGTGGAGAAAGCGGACATTGACTGAGAAGTGCCGGGATTTTGCTATAAAGGGAAGAAACAAAATAGTGCGTTGCTAGGGGTATTGCTTTATTTGGCACATTTTAAGTAATCATTTCATTTTTGTCACTATCCTCACTATTGCTTTATCTATTTGATTACCCTGATTTTTTTTCTTTCTGTTCCTTGGACAATGGCTGATTTAGTACTAGAGTTGACTAGAAGTGAAAATCCAATAATTACTCTTCATATCTAGCTATTTACGTAGATGCTCTGTTAAAGCAAATATGGACTCTGATCTGTTATTTAGCCATGTATGTAAATGGCTCCCATACAGGGAGAAATTCTTTCAAATTTGAGAATACGACATAAAACTATTAAAAGTGTTATAAATGAACTAATCTGATCGATTTTTCTGGGTCCTTGATCCTTTTCTAGCAAAGAGAAGCCACTGGCATGTTCCAGTGTCTCCTACTAAAGATTCAGAGTTTGGGGAGCCATGAAAGCAGTCTTGTGCACATGAAAACAGATTCAGTAGTTCTAGTGCCTAGGCTGCCATGAGCTCCATTTCCTCTTCACCATTTTCTAGATCTCAGCATTCATGGGAAAAGTTACACCAGTGTTCTCGTTCTAGCTATGAGTCCACTTTGCCTTCTTGCTCAACAGTTCACATGACTCACTTGGAAATAAAAAATCCACGAGACTGTTAAGGGCTCCATCATTGGCTTGGGACTGGACATGAACCGAGGTTGCAGCATGACCCAAAGGGAGGTCATACCCTTTGGGGACAACACACTGAGGGTTCTGGACAAGTACAAAGTAACTTCTATCACCAGACAGCTGGTTCTGCCATTTATCTGTTAGGTTGACTTTGGCACACCCCTTCCTCATTCTAAGCACAAATATTTTTCTAATAGGAAGTGTTGAGTGGGTCACATCTGCTTTCATCAGCTAATTATTGTGAGGATAAGATGAATTAATACTGTGAAGACGCTCCACATTATCGCAAGTGCTATGCAAGTATGAACCAGTATTATCAGTAAGGGGTGACTGTTGCTCGATCCTCTATGTCCTTCAGACTCTCTGAGTGGAGGTCTGATTCCAGGTGGAGAAGGTGCTCCTTTTGATTTGGGAACTCCCAAGGGTAGGCTCTTAGATACTGATGGGCTGCCATGTACCACAAGGATGGTGAGTTCCCTTTGGCGGGGAGCCCAGTGACTCCTTTGCATGAATGAGGCTCTGAGCCCCTCTCAGCTCAGGATGCAGGGTAGGGTCTTGCTTCACAGATCTGAGATGCTCACAGATCCCAGGAGCCATACAGTGGAAGAAATAGGGCCCAAGTCCAACCCCAGTCCCCCCTTCATTTGCAGGTGTCAACATAAAGAGCTTTGGGGTGGGCGGATGCATGTTTGCTCAGTGTGGGGCCCTTGGCAAAGCATACGGAGCGGGCCTTTGACCTTGTTTCACTTTCTCTTTGGAATTCTTTTCTCTCTTGTTCCCTACAGAGCTGGTGATTTTAGGCTCCCCCTACTTTCCAGAACTCTCCATTGCCATTACCAGCTTCAGTCTAGAGGAGTGCTGCACAATAGAACTTTCTATAATGAGAGAAATATTCTGTCTGCTGGGTCCAAGATGGCAGCTACAGCCACATGTGGCCAGTGTGACTGAGAAACTGAATTTTTAATATTATTTAATTTCAATGAATTTATATTAAAATTACCACATGTGGCTAGTGGCTAGTGTATTGGACAGTGCAGGTCTGGAGCGCAATTCTGCAATCACGTCAGTCTCACCATTGCAATCAAAATTAACTTGTCCTGTGTTCTAATTCCAAGGCCCTCTTCTTAGAGATGTACCAACAAGTTAATCTGATAAGCAAATTCCTGTCCATAAATTAACATCTTATCTCTCTTAGATAAGGTCATAGATTTTGAGCAACGTCATACTTTAGTCAAAGCAGAGGCTCACATGATAGAAATTTGAAGGACTCTGGCAGGCGAATATGGTGGATGAAAAGATTATAGGCATAGAGCTTTAGACTCACTTCAAAGCACACTCTAGGATGGGCACATCCTCCCCAGTGCCCGGGGCTGCTTCTATGTTTCCCAGCCTTTTGCAGTCTGGGGAGAGTTAAGTTCAGAGATGAGCAGATGGGAGCCTGAGAAGTGGAGGAGGGAGGGGATGGAGGTGGGAGAGTTGGAATGGGAAGAGCCCAAAGGATGCCAAGCTCTTGCGAAAGAACCTGGCACGCCAGTCAGAGTGGCATTCTGTTCCACCTTGGGAGAGGGTGCCAAGGAGAGGTTGTTAGGAAGTGATTGTTACCACTGGGACAGGATTGTATGATCATGGTTCAATAAAAGAGCCCAGAAATCAAGCTGAAGGCCACAGAATGGACTGTGGCACTTTTGGCAAAGTCACGGACAAGAGTTGTATTTCTACTTTTAATTCTAATCTTTCCTAATTTTAGGGAGTTTTTTTTTTTTCTTCTGAATTCTTTTATGAACATTGCTTTCCAGACGTGCTTTTCACCCTGAACTGAGCTGTGTTTCTGTTTCCTTGGATGGCCACGTAACTGCTCTCAAGTTCTTGCCTGTGTTTTCACAGCTATGCAAAGGCATCAGAAGAAGCCTTGCAAACCAAACACTAGGTTGGGTAAAGGGTGGAGGAAAATGGGAGGGTGGGTGCAGGGAAAGGAGATCATCTTAGGGTATAAGGGGCACATGTGAAGATGATTAGGAAGAGCATATACCAACCCTAGTGATTTTACTGTCAGGGCCTCCATCTGCCTGTCGGCACCTTGGGTAAATCTGCTAGCACCACCTCGCCTACTCTTGACTCTTTGAGGAATGGAAAAATGGATTTCTAGTTAAGCCACTGCCTAGAACGCATACCTGTACGTTTAAAAAACATCAATTGGAGATGAAGTCTCAAATCATTGTGCAATAATGTAGTCTATAAATAAGTACACATGTAAATAAAAAAATAGTAGTCAAATCCCTCTGGTGCTTTGCAACACAGTTCAGACTACACAGTTTTTTTTCTGGACCTTTTCGGCCTCATGAAAGGAAGGAATGTTCCAGGATTCAGTAGTACCCTGTTCTTTCTCGTTTGCCTTTTCTTCAAGGAAACATTGAAGGCATTTAGCATCAATGGGCAGAAGCCCAGAAAGGAGAAAGAAACTCAGGGAAGCCAGTCAACTGGCTGGGTTGATTCACTGGCTGCAATGCTGCCGAGTACTCCTGGAGGGGCTGTTATGCCACAGGGTCTTGTCGCGCCAAATCACTTTGATGACTTATGCTATCCTTTCTATCAGTACTTGTAATATTTGCTCTGAACACTATCAATTTTAGTCTATTTGCATGAAAAAAGTTCTTGCTAGGCTGTGGTTCTCCTTGGGGATTATTTTGTCCCTCCTACCCCCAGGGACATTCGGTATGTCTGGTAACATTATTTATTGTCACTACTAGGGGGAAATTTCATCCTTCTTAGAATTTCAGGCAATGTCTGAAGACACCGTTGGTTGTTACAAGTGGGATGTGGTTGTGTCCTGCTGACATTTAGTGGGTAGAGACCAGAGATGTTGCTAAGCATCCTACAATACATAGCACAGCCCCCACGACAAAGAATTATCTGGCCCCGAATATCAACAGTGCAAAAGTTGAGAAACTCCGGCCCAGAGGGGAAGCTCAGGCTTGGTTCTTGACACTGAAGTGTCAGATAGCCCTCAAAGGGCTATGACTTTTTCAATGTTGGAAGACTAGTAAATACCCTGGAGTGCCCTCAGGAAATCCTAGCATAACTTTGGCTAGAATTCTTTTCTGCCAATGTGCTAGTCGGTTTCATATCTTCATGAATCTTTAACTTCCTCTGAAAGAGAAGGCATGCATTCTCAGGGTTACATAGGTCAAGTTGGTCTCAGAGACCTAAATCCCATTTTACTGCAGTATGTACCGAGGCAAGCCCTGAGGCTTGGTTTCTCCACGTGTAAAATGGAGTCATAATACCTCATGACCTATTTGTCATCTGAGCCTGGCGTCCTAGGAAGGTAGAATAGGGGCATAGCGTTCAAGCTGGAATAAAGGTAGAATGTGTGAGTTAAGTGGCGACAGGATATTGTAGGAGGGGAGAGAAAACCAACAACTTGTGAGAGTCAAGCCAGCAGATTGTGACTGGAGTTCAGTGGGTCTTAAGGCCATAAAGTGATTTTCCTTGTTGATGGGTGATGATGAAGAGCCTGAGTCCACCATTTATGAGTTTTTCCATAAGGTTTGTCGATGGGTTAGGAGGGAGGAGGCATGCAACAGCAACAATATTAGGGGGCTGATGGGGACACAGAAAGCTATGGCAAGGATTTATGTAGAGCTGCCTTGGAAAACACAAGCAAACAATATTTTTTTTTTCATATTTTAAAAATAACATAGTCATCGCTAAAAATCTCTCAAGTACAGAAAATATAAGAAGACAATAAAAATCCCCCATAATTGCACCACTAGGTGATATCAGCTATTAATCGTTTGATATTTTCTTTGAAAAAAAAATGGAGCAGGGTTTTCTGGGCAGGGCTGGGGAGATTGAAAGGTCACTGAGAACAGCCGAATGAAACCATGTGGATATCGACTGGTTTGGAATTATTCTCTCTGTGAGTCAAGAGAGTCGCGTCCCTGCCCTTGCCTGCATAAAAAGGACGGTAGGACAGACGGGCAGTGTGGCAGAGGAGCACATGATCAAATTCCTCTTACCTTCAGGATTCACGTGGAAAGCATCTTTAGTGTTCTCCTCCATGAATAGAAGAGTTCTTTAGCTGAAAGAAGAAATGACTCATTTTAGCTCAAAGATGAGAGATGCTGCTAAGCATCCTACAATACAGAGCACAGCCCCCACGACAAAGAATTATCTGGCCCCGAATATCAACAGTGCAAAAGTTGAGAAACTCTGGCCCAGAGGGGAAGCTCAGGCTTGGTTCTTGACACTGAAGTGTCAGATAGCCCTCAAAGGGCTATGACTTTTTCAATGTTGGAAGACTAGTAAATACCCTGGAGTGCCCTCAGGAAATCCTAGCATAACTTTGGCTAGAATTCTTTTCTGCCAATGTACTAGTCGGTTTCATATCTTCATGAATCTTTAACTTCCTCTGAAAGAGAAGGCATGCATTCTCAGGGTTACATAGGTCAAGTTGGTCTCAGAGACCTAAATCCCATTTTACTGCAGTATGTACCGAGGCAAGCCCTGAGGCTTGGTTTCTCCACGTGTAAAATGGAGTCATAATACCTCATGACCTATTTGTCATCTGAGCCTGGCGTCCTAGGAAGGTAGAATAGGGGCATAGCGTTCAAGCTGGAATAAAGGTAGAATGTGTGAGTTAAGTGGCGACAGGATATTGTAGGAGGGGAGAGAAAACCAACAACTTGTGAGAGTCAAGCCAGCAGATTGTGACTGGAGTTCAGTGGGTCTTAAGGCCATAAAGTGATTTTCCTTGTTGATGGGTGATGATGAAGAGCCTGAGTCCACCATTTATGAGTTTTTCCATAAGGTTTGTCGATGGGTTAGGAGGGAGGAGGCATGCAACAGCAACAATATTAGGGGGCTGATGGGGACACAGAAAGCTATGGCAAGGATTTATGTAGAGCTGCCTTGGAAAACATAAGCAAACAATATTTTTTTTTCATATTTTAAAAATAACATAGTCATCCCTAAAAATCTCTCAAGTACAGAAAATATAAGAAGACAATAAAAATCCCCCATAATTGCACCACTAGGTGATATCAGCTATTAATCGTTTGATATTTTCTTTGAAAAAAATGGAGCAGGGTTTTCTGGGCAGGGCTGGGGAGATTGAAAGGTCATTGAGAACAGCCGAATGAAACCATGTGGATATCGACTGGTTTGGAATTATTCTCTCTGTGAGTCAAGAGAGTCGCGTCCCTGCCCTTGCCTGCATAAAAAGGACGGTAGGACAGACGGGCAGTGTGGCAGAGGAGCACATGATCAAATTCCTCTTACCTTCAGGATTCACGTGGAAAGCATCTTTAGTGTTCTCCTCCATGAATAGAAGAGTTCTTTAGCTGAAAGAAGAAATGACTCATTTTAGCTCAAAGATGAGAAAAAAGGAGACGCCATTTCTGACTCACTCTGTAGCATTGGCATGGCTGAAATCACTACATTTCAGTGACAGGCTTAAGACAGCTCTAGGTTTTTGAAATTAGTTTCTCAGCAACTTCATTATGAAGTAATTCCAAACTTCTAAAAAATAGCAAAAGAAGTAAAAAGATACCCTGATTGTTAATATTTTGCCACAGTTGATTTATCATTCTCTTTCTTTGCTGTATGTACAAATTATTTTTTTCTGGATCATTGGGTAATAAGTTGTAGTCATGAATCTTCTTAAATATTTCAGCATGTTCTCTAAAGAGCCAGGGCATTCTCTTACATAAACACAGTGTAAGGATTAAAATCAGAAAATTAATATTAATATAACACTATTATCTCATCTATAGATTTTATGCCAATATTTCCAGTCATCTTAATTGGGATTAGATTTTATGAACAATTTGAATGAAATTTATTGACAAATCCTGTGATAGCCATGGCCGCACTGGGAAGTTGGTCACTGTAACTCAAACGGAAAGTTTGATTCTATCTCATGGGTTCATATGAGCACTGGCAGAAGACTGCTTTTCGAAATGTAAACAACTTTGGGTGAAGATGGGCTGTTTACTGGGCTGTTGGGTACGGGCTTGGATCAGTTGGGCTGTGTCCATCAGGAATCATGGTTTCTACCTCGATCCTTCCAGTGTATCTGGCTTTAGATTTTATATAAGATATTAGGAACTCTGGGGACTGACTGGCCTGGATCTGTGAGGTATGAGGTGGCAATTGCTAATCGTATCAGTCTGAGTTAGAACAAAGATGATTTTAGGACTTGAATATAAATCAGGCTCATATAGGTCTGCAGTTACTTTGAAATTTTGTTTTGATAGATAGCAATTCCTAATTTAGTGTCTAACTCATGCAAAAACAAAAAAATCTAATGAGAGTAGCAGACCAAATAATGTTTTCAAATAATTTCTGTGTCTTCAAAATCCAGAATTCTGGAGATTATCCCTTGAGTAATCAAGCACTCTATATTTTCTACATTCAGCTGAGCTGACTCCACTGACGATTCAGGAGGTGACAAGTAGGTAGCTAAGGAGAGCTACCAGCAGCTTCATACCATTGAGAATGTCTCTGTCACACATCCCACCTTCTCAGCAGTTCCTCTATTGGCATAATAAATGGAAAACTCAAACGCTTTTGCAATAAAAGCCTATGAGCGTAAAACAGCCACCCCCAAGGTAATGAGGTGTCTGGTGAGTCTGGAGCTTGTATCACAAATGTCTGGGGCAGCTTTCTCAGAAGCCACCAATTTTTTCTTCCATAGAATGCGGTGATGCTGAAATTTTCATTTTAAAAAACTCTGAACATTATAGAGTGCATTTTAGATTCTGATTCTGGGAATCGTTTCAGGACTTCGAGCCCTTTTTTTGATAATGTCCTAGCTCTGTTCAGAACAACTTCTGCTCTGCTCTGTTATCTCCTAAATAAAATCCAGCCTCTTTGTAAGCTCTTGCAGGGTACTTGAGGGGCCAGGAGAGGCTGGGCAAGGGTGCAGAGGGAAGGGAGCTCAGATCGAGGGCTGCATTGAAGGGGTGAAAAGTCTGGAATGCAGAGCAGCAGGGAGAGCTCTAGGGCAGGAGGACGTAAAAGAGATCATGGTCCTTTCACTCATTTCTGCAGTTCAACAAATATTCATTGAGCAGCAGGCTTTGAGCTCACTTCATTCGTTCATCTCTGTATTCACTCAGCATTTAAAAAAAATGCCTGGTACACCATTTAGCTGTTTTTATTCTCTGCCCCAAATTCTCCTGCACCTACTTTTGGCCCTGCTCTGCGCCCCGTGGGACTGACTCCTGTGGCTCTCTTGCCTTCCAGCTTCGGGTGGGGTTCCACCATGGTAGGCTGAGGATGGGAGAAAAGCACATCAGGGTGCCTGTTGCCCTCCTTCCCCGCCTTCCTCTTGCCTTGGTTCTGGCAGTGGTTGTGTCTCCAGCACCACAGCTCCAGTCCGGCAGCCCTTCTCTCGTGGCTCCAGCAATCAGTGGGGGTCAGCAACATCCCTCTCTCCTCATTCCCCTTTATCCAGAGAGAGTGGTGACAAATTCTTTTGTGAGCTCTCTCAATCCTGTCCATAGGAATGTAAATGGTGTCTTTATTGTATTCTCTTAAAAATTCTAGCTGAATATGTCATCTTCTTCTTATCTGACCCTGACTGATAGAGCCCTTGAATATATACTGAATTGTTTTCTGGTTGCTCTGGACAGGCTGGAAAGATGTAAAGTTTCGTATATAATTTCCAACACGAGGCTGCACCAATGCAGGCTGGGGAGGCATGACTTAATAGAAACTCCTGGGGGAAAAAAATTCTCAGAGATTTAGTCTTTTATGCACTTAAGTATTATGGGTCAGTCAAAAACTAACCTGATCTCTGGTCCTGTAACCACAGAATTAACTCACACTGGCCCTATCCCGTTTCTTACAAGATGCTGAGTTGTTTTTAGAGACGAGAGAACAAAAGGGCAAGTTGTGCAGCAGAAGCATGTGCAGAGGAGAAAATGTTTCAAATTATGCCCAGAACCGAACTTTCTCCCTCCCACAGAGCCGAAAGACTGGGGCACGACCAGAACCGAACGTCAGAGCCCTTTCAGAAGCAAAAGGTCTATTGTCCAGGAAGAGCTGAGGCTGAAGTCCCTTATCATATCTTACCATAAATGGTCACATTCTAACCCGCCATTCAAATTTGCCCCGCCACTACTTCTGCATACCAGGCTGTGTCCCCAGTCCCTTAAAACTCCCCACAAATCCTCAATTAGAGAGATGGATTAAAGCAGGGGTCCCCAACCCCCGGGCCGTAGGCCAGTACTGGTCTGTGTCATGTTAGAAACCAGGCCGCACAGCAGGAGCAGCGGGCTAGTGAGCAAAACGTCATCTGTATTTGCAGCCGCTCCCCAGTGCTAGTATCACCAACTCAACTCAGCCTCAGATCATCAGGTATTAGATTCTCATAGGAGCACTGGTCCCTGGTGCCAGAAAGTTTGGGGACCGCTGGATTAAAGCCTGGCCTCCTGTCTCCTTGTGAGTCAGCTTCACAATAAAGCTTCCCCCCCACCCAAAAGCTGGTGCCATAATATTGGCTTCTGTGCACATTAGGCAGCCAGCTCTTCCTTGTAACAGTCACAGAATTGGAAATACGGTGTCCCAAACAAGGGTCATGATAGTGCTGCTCCATGCTGCCTTCATTAGCTCCCACTTAGAGTTCTAGGCTCAGTCTGGGCTTCCCACTTTCAGAGAAAACACGCTAGTTGTTTTTAAGTGTTTTAAGGCCTGTCATATAGAGCAGAGGTCAAATAACTTCACAAGGGTCAAACAGTAAATAGTTTGACTTTGTGGACCAAAAGTTTTCAGTTGCAACTTCTCTGCTTTTGTACAAAAGCAGCCATAAACAATACATAAATGAATAGACTTAGCTGTGTTCCAATAAACTTTATTTACAAAAATAAACGGTGGGCTACATTTGGCCTGCAGGCCTTACTTTGCTGAACTCTGATTCATAGTGGAAAATGGATTTATTCTGGGTGTGCTCAGAAGGTGGAAGTTGGACCAATGTGCAGAAATCATAGAGAGGTCGGTTAGTGCTCATTTTAAGAAGGATCTTTTTAATGGCGATCACTTTCCTCAAATCAAATGAGCTGTTTCATGAGACAGTGG